GCAACATAAACAAGCCGCTTCACGATGATCCATTATCAGAACTAGAACAAGGTAGCTGCCATATTTATTGGTGGCCCCGATGACCGTGAGGCCCTAACTTTCGCAAAACGGATGGCGTTAAACACCAGGGTCAGCCTCACGGTGATTCATTTGGTTGCGGCCGGAAACGAGGATGGGGACAATGGGGGAAAATGTGGATACTGTTATATTGAGGGATGTCAAGAACAATGGAATATACATTACAAAGAGAAGGTGGTAAGCGGTGGCCTGAATCCGCAACGATGCTTCACGCTCTTGTGCATGAATTCAACCTGATGATTGTTGGGAGGAGAGTGGATTTGGAGTCACAACAGACGTCAGGGCTCAAAGAATGGAGTGAATTCCCGGGCTTGGAGCCCTGGGAGACCTCCTTGCATCTGCAGTACAGTAGCAGATGTTCAATCTTGATGTCCAACAACAGCAGACAACTTAATTCATCTTCAAACCATTACATATAGATTGATTCTTTATCTTTAGTTGGTAGGGTCTTTAAGTGGGTAGTGAAATTATTTATTCTTTAGTTATTTAGGGAACCTTTTCAGGTGTAGATATTTTTTTAGTTTAGTTTTGACATTAATTGTGTTCAACTTATAATACATCGCTATTTTTCAAGAAGTATTAAGAAACTCTGTAAAATTAGCAATGTTACCGATGATTGTATTAGATTAATAAAATATCCATCTAATTACTTTTGTCCTTCATGATATAACAAAATATATTATTTAAAAAACATAATCTTGGTCTAGCTTCTTTCCTCATCATATGTCATGGGTTAAAGTAGCTGAGTAGCTGACCAATTGATAAGAGGGTTTTTTTTTTCTTTTTTTTTAAATGATCGAGAGTGTTTGATTAGTTTACGTGTACCGCAACTAATTTCCTAAGGCCTGAATTACTAGTCTGGTAAGAGTTCTAGTGGCTATCCCTATTAGCATTGAAAATGATTCGAATCAAGACCCTTGAATAATAACCTAAAATCTCTATCGAATACTCAATCTTTAGAAATAATTAATTGAGGTTTTTGGAATATGTGAGGGTGTGATTTGGTTTCATAAATTTATCTTTTTATTAACAAGCTTATATTTTATTCGTAAAAGATTATACTAAGAAAGAATCATGATTTTGTCAGTTGGAACTTGGACGAAGTACTTATTTTATATTAAAGTTACGAGATGTGGTTTTATATCCATATTAATTTAAAGCTAAAATCATAGGGATAGTTTTTAAAACTGGTTTTTTCTTCTTCTTTTTTTTCCAAATTTGACGTTTGAATAGAAAATTTGAATTAATTTTTACCTTATTTGATAGGTTTATCAGTTGTGTTTCTACTTATATGATCAATAATGAAATTGACTTACAGAAATATATATATAAATGAATTTTCTAAATCTTGAATTAGAGAAGATAAAATAAAAAAATAAAACCATATTTACTTTGAATTAATAAAAATATCAAATGAAAATAGGTTAAATTATTCTTTATTCTTTTAAAATTAGACTTAGATTGAGATAATTGTAGGCATGGCAATGGGGCAGGGCCAATGGCAGATCCAAGAGTTCTGTCGAGGGAGGGCCTCGGCGATTCACCATTGTTGCCAAACAACGGTGAAAACTTAAAAAAAACATCAAACTAAAGCAAAGAAAAATACTATATCAGAATATGAGAAAAAGAATGTACTAACACATAATCTCTATTTAATAAATCTAGAGAAGAAAAATTTTAAGTAAATGTGTTGAATAAAACTTAAGCAAAACCTTCTTTTAATTTTTTTTTTTTTTTTTTTTTTTTTTTTTGCTTCCAAGATTATAATATAAATTTGCATGACTTTTATCAAACATAGGCTAAGTTAAAATCAACCAAAACTTAAGTCAAGTCAATGTTGTATTAACTTTTAATATGAATTAATTAAAAAAAAAAAAAGAATTTCCTTGATATAAATATAGTTAGTAACTCAAATTTCATTAATAATTTTGAGCAGCTGAACGGTGACGTTTGAAATGTAGGAAAGTGGTGGATGAAGGGTGAAGACTAACGTCCTTTAAAATATATTTAAAGTTTTAATTTGGGAAAACAGGTTCATTCTTAGATACAAAACACAAAATAAACTCATAAGATACATGTCTTTTTCTCTCAAATTAGAATAAAAAACCTTTAAAAAAAAAAAAAAAACATGATTCAATCTTAAAATAAACTAAATTAAAATAAGCAAGTTACATACCTAAAACTGAAAACGAAGCTAATTATAACACCTTGAATAGTGAAAACTTCAACAATTTTAATTTTCAAAAATTTTTAAAATGAATAGTATGAGAAAAAAATGAGAGAATAAAGAATTTTAGGAATAAACTCATAAAAAGCAGGTGGAGCCATGGAGAAAAAAGTTAGAGAGAGTTTTAAACTTTTAATATGATGTGAGCTTGAAATATATATATTAATAAGAAATTTTTTGTGGGCCTAGATATATGTATAATAATTCTCATTTTAAAAAAATTTGAGAGTGAGTCTGGATATATATATTAATAACAATTTTTTGTGGGCTAATATATTAGTAATTTTATTTTAAAATCTCAGGGTAGGCCCAAGGGCTGGATCAGCCCCTGGGCGGGATGCAGATCTCATTCACCGTCCCCAGACTTGCCCTCAAAATTACTCCCCATCCCCGTTACAAGGATGACAAAAATTCCCCATCCCGACCTCGTTAATTTTACCTTTGGAGAGAGTTTAAGTTTTGCTGGATTGGAGAGATCAAATCGGCGTCAGTGAACGGCAATATGAAGTCGGCTAAGGACGAATGTCAATTGTGTAATTAGGTGAAATATATAGGAGTATTAGCGAAAAGTAATATATATATACATGGGGCGAGGTCGAGGTAGGGGAAGGGCAACCCCCACCCCCGCCCCATCCCCGGGGACAGGGATTAAAACTCCTCCCATCCCCGCCCGATATGGGGCGGGTTGGGGCTCAATGCCATGCCTAGATAATTGTAACTTCTGTTTTAATCAATTTTGACTCAACTTTATAAATAATTAATTTTTGATAAAAAAATTAAGGTGTTTACTTTATTTACTTTTTCAATTTTTTATTTTTAAGAAATAATATGTAAAATGACAAAAATAATATTTTTAAATAAATTATTTTATTAAAATAAATGTTCTAAAATTAAAAATTAAAAATTAAAAAAATATAACTGAAAACTAGTTGGGCTTAAGATGGGTGAACGATGTTGTTAGCGCATGCGGCAACACTACTAGCTGCATTAAGTAGATCATTTTTAGCCAATCTACCCAATGAATTATGGAGCCATCGAGGACGCCGACGGCTATGGCATTTCACTGCAGTAGGGCAAAAAAGGTTCCACCCTCCTTTCTCGGCCTGCTGAGGGGAAATATCATAGCCATCGGACTCCTAGATGGCTCTATTGGGTAAATTGGCCGGAGATCTATCCAATAGAGTTGGCTGCCGACCGATGACCTTACCGGCTAATTTTCAATTTTCTAAAATTTATATTGTTTTTATTAAATTATGAATTTAATTGAATGATTATTTTATGAAAAATAAATCTACAATTTTTGTTAATATAGATAGGAAATTTATGTAATTAATATTCCATACGCAGCTTATGATTTTCAAAAAGTCACTCAAACCTATTTTTGGAATTTTTTTATAAAACAAATTAATTCAAAGTCAGTTTAGTTTACCAAATACCTTTTGAATTAAAAAAAAAAAAGGGAGAAATTATCGGCAACCAAACTCACCCTTAATTTTTTTAATAAGACTAAACAATTGTATAACTTATAAAACTAAACTACCTCTGAGTGATCGAGTGGTTCGATAGGAACTTTTGGGTGTATTATTCAAGAGATTTTGAGTTTAAGTCTTTCCTCAGTTGCTAATAAAGATAGTCACCAGAGCTTTTTCCCAGCCGATAATTCCACGGTACTAAAAGATTATTTGTTCGGTTGCTATTAGGAATAGCTACTAGAGCTTTTATCCGGCTAATAGTTTCAGGATATTGAAAGATTAGTTGCTCAGTTATTAATAAGGATAGTCAATGAAACTCTTTACCCGATCAATAGTTCCAGGATATTGAGAGATTAGTTGCTCAGTTGTTAATAAAGATAGCTATTGGAACTCTTATCCGATCAATGGCCCGGCTAATAATTCTAGGATAAAACTAGCAACAGGTAGATAATATAATTAATATTTTTGTTACAATCAATTTTTTTTTTTTTTTTGTCCTATTTAAAAGAATAAATCGTTAAAATATATTATACAGGTAGAAGTCAATATGCAAAACAAAGTTTTAACTAAATAAATTCAAACACAATCTTATGTCAAATGTATTTGTTATTATAAATCCATGAATAGTAAATACATCCAATAAAATTACATCCCCATAACCGATTTATTAACTGGATTGCACGAAACTTTGACAGTAATTAACCAAAACTCTTCTTGTTTAATCTGTTACTACAGCCAATTTGATTGTTGATGGCATATCAAAAACCATAACTTTGGTCAGCTATTTGATCACCATCAAAACCATTTGCTCTTCAAATTGATATCACAGGTTATTCAAATCCTGTTAAACGCGTTGGTTAACCAGTCGCGACCACAAGAATGAATACGACTCGAGGATTACCATCGTATAATGAAACTAAAATCTGCATTACATCACCATTGCGTATACAATCATTTGGCCTGTGGAGGGGAGATCCCCGGTTTCCGCGAGATGAAAATCATAATTGGTTGAGTTATGCACTGCCCAGAATCGAACTCACCATTGGTTTGCTCTTCGTCTGCACTCAGGCCTTCCATTTTTCTCTCAAACGATTTGGCCTCCCGTTGTACACCTCTCAGCTTCTTGTACGTTCTCTTTTTATGAATTGTATTTTCTCTTCTTCCATTCTTGATAATTTTGAGTGATTGGAAATATTAATGATATGATTTGTGTGGACCTGCAGGCGGGTTTGATGCTTTCTCCGGCAGTGATCGGACAAACTGCTTTCGATATGCTGGTAACTGAAGAAACCATACAAGGGATTGGCACATTTTCGACATTTGGCTATGCCGGCTTTCTCTTCCTGAGTGGAGTTAAATTAGATCCGAGCATGGTGACAAGAGTGAGCAAAAGGGCATTATACATTGGTTTACTCGCCATTATACCACCTTTAGTGGTCACTGTAATGATACTGCAGAATTTCAGTAAGAACGATGAAGAGAAGTCCATATCTTTCTTCCTTGCACCCAGTTATATTATGTCTTCATTTCCAGTCGTAAATTGTCTGCTTGGTGAATTGAAGATCATAAATTCAGAACTTGGCAAAATAGCACAATCTTCTGCAATTGTTAGTGACTTTTTGAGTCTGTTTGTCTTCGTGACAGCAAATTTGATGAAAAAGGCACCTCGAGAGGCACTTGATGATCTTATCATTATTTTTGTTTTCGTCGGTTTTGTTTTCATGGTGGTCCGACCTGCACTGAAATCAGTGGTTAAATCCACCCCAGAAGGCAAGCCTATAGACTATCTTTACTTGGCGATCGTCGTACTGCTATTTATGTCCTCTATAGGCATGTCTGTCTGGTATATGAGGTTCAGGTTCTTGGGGGCTTATATTCTTGGTCTAGCAATTCCACATGGACCGCCAATGGGATCTCTTGTGGTTGAGAAGTTAGAAAGCATGATCACCCATTTATTTTTACCTTTGTTATTCACAACAAGTGGCATGAGGGTCGAAAAATTGTTCGTGGTACTAAGCAATCATACATTAATACTTAACGCACACACCACCGCCATAGCTTTGACGGTGAAGTTCGCAGCTTGCTTGCTGCCACCACTGTATACCAACATCCCTTTGAAGGATGCTTCTTCACTAGCCCTCATAATGTGTTCTTTAGGTACTGTTGAGCTCACTGGGTTCGTCTTCTTGAGTGACATCAAGGTTATAGATGCAGACATGTATGCGTTGATGTTTTATGTAATCCTTAATGTATCAAGCATTGTGCCTATGCTTGTGAAAGTTCTCTATGATCCTTCAAGAAAATATGCTGGCTACCAGAAGAGGAACCTCATAGATTTGAAGCCTCATTCGGATCTGCCAGTCGTTGCTTGCATTCATGTACCGGATGATGTGAGCGCGGTGATCCATCTGTTGGATGTTGCGTATCCTTCACGAGAAAACCACGTGGTTGTTAATGTCCTTCATCTCATTAAGCTCAGAGGACAATCAACTCCAGTCTTCATTTCCCACGACAAGGAAAGGACAACAACTTTCGGTGATCAGTACTCTTGTTCATTTGAGAATATCCTTCTTTCTTTCGGTAGATTCGAGAGAGTCAACTGGGGAGCTGTATCCGTCAACACTTTCACTTCAGTTTCCTCACCCGATTTCATGCAGGAAGATATATGCAGTCTCGCATTCGACAAATCTGCGTCTCTTATAATCCTCCCATTCCATCGTAGATGGTACCTTGATGGAGGCGTCGAACAGGAAAACAAATTCATAAGGAGCATAAATTCCAGGGTCCTGGAAAAGTCTCCTTGTTCAGTAGGAATCCTGCTTGACCGTGGCAATAAGATGGGTCGAGTCCATGATCAATCATCAGAGCCACAGTACAACGTTGCTGTGATATTCATCGGAGGTTCCGATGATCGCGAGGCCTTAACATTCGCAAAGCGCATGGCTCAAAACCCCAAGGTTAACCTGACAGTAGTTCATTTGCTTCCAAGGGAAATTGAAGAGAAGGAAGATTGGGGGACAGTGGTTGATACAGTGATATTGAGGGATATGGAGACTGATGGATATATAAACTACATTGAGAAGGAGGTAGTGGGTGGATCTGAAACCGCAACTATGCTTCATTCTATGATTAATAAATTTAACCTCATAATTGTTGGGAGGAGAGCGAATTTGAAGTCACCACAGACATCAGGACTCAATGAATGGAGTGAATTCCCAGAACTTGGAGCCCTTGGAGACCTGCTTGCATCAAAAGATTACAGCGCCAGATGCTCAGTTTTGATTGTGCAACAACAACATACAACCCAGTCATCAACCCAATAACCAACAACATATGAGAGTGAATTTCCCGACTGCGTCTGTTCCAACGCCGCACAATGTTGTCAGAACATGCCACATACACTGACACCGTAGATCGTTGCTGACCATGGAACATCTCCCTGCGAAAGCTGCGCCACTGGTCTATAGTTTTCTAAACACTTTCACTGGAGAGGGCTATTACAACGCAAACAGTCTTAGTTGTGCAACGACATCGGACAATCTCATTAAGCCAACCGGTTTATTTGCATCCATTTTTATCTGATGGCTGATAATTAGTTGCTGGCATCTTTAGGTTAGGGTGAAATCTTTATTCTTTCAATCTTTGCTTCATGATCAAGATAGATGTATACATTTGTTGATTGACATGATAATTATCCTATTATTTCAGTGATTCTTCACCTTTCTTTCCAGCTGTAATGGGTTTAGTTCATCATCCATGGAGAAGATCACCAGGATCTTCTCCTGAACTGAACTCAGATATGAGAGGATACTTGTCCGTCATCCATATATGCTCCCTTGTTCATGTTTCTTGAACAATTTTAGTATCTTATTTTAAATGGACTTAAAACGAGAAATGCAAACCGGTTATTATTATTATTAATTAAGGAATGATATAATAGCGAGTAAACGACTTTTTCCCACCCAAGGTTTGCCTTAATGATACTTTCTCACAAAAAAAGAGTTTCAAAATACCACTTTCCTATTATAAGTTAATATTCCATTATTATCCAAAACTAATTTTAGGGACGAACATTCTTTCCGTCACCACCATTTGAACCTTCGGTCTTCTCCGTACAAAACTCCTCTCATTCTGACATTTGATTTATAGTCTATTGCCTACCACCACAAAGCTAGGATTTCGTATTCTTAACTGATATCCAACTGATTATGATGCCGAATATTCAATAGGCACAACCATTCAATCCACCAGTCTCGACTCTACAAAACACCTCTTACCTTAGCTCCTAGTAACTCACCAAATGTCAATTGAGAAAATAAAGTATATTTTGGGTATTAACATAATATAAACTTTGGGTGGAAAGGTGTATTTTGAAACTTTTTAGAGGGGAAATGTGATTAAGGCAAACCTTGAGTGGGAAAAATTCGTTTGCTCTATAACAGCAGATAAAACCACTCATAATAACAATCACAACAAAAACAAACTGCTTTTACACATGGTTCTCTCTTTGCAACTCAAAACTTAAAATAATCTAATATATCTATGTATACATTTCTATGTTATTTGGAGGATTTTAGCTCTTAATTAAGGTGTACAACTACAAGCCTTTTTTTTTAATTTGCAATTATTTTTTATAGAGTAAACAACATCTACCCACCCAAGGTTCGACGAATCTTCAAGTTCTCACCCATGGTTTCATAAATTCCAAATTCTCATCCTTAAATTAACACAGTTAGTAATTTTTGGGTTCTAACGCAGTATATAAAGTGCTATTATCATATTGCACTTAACAAATAAATTAATAAATTACTTTTTATCCCCCCCCCCCCCCCCCCCAAAAAAAAAAAGAATTAGAAAAATTATCTTACTTTCAAATATTTTTCAATAACACCCTCTTCTTCAATTTAAAAAAAAAAAAGGGAAACCCTAAGGAGAGTTGGACGGCTACTGACGGACTAACGAGGTTAGGTTGGTGGGGGATTTTGGAGAGCAGCTGCTAGAGAAGCGATGGGTGGTGACAAGGGTTATTTCTGATGCTATGATCGATTGGAAAAAGCTTGAGCAGTTGCGGACCAAAAAGTGGCGATGGTCGGCGATTTACAAAGTAAACGAGTGAGGTGTCATAAGGGTTTTGGTCTAAGGGCTAAGGGAGGAAGATGGTGTTGCCGGGAAAGCCAACGACGTTGGGTATAGGCAGAAAATGGCTGTTGCGCGTGGCGGAGCTAGGTTGCAAGAATCGGCAAAAATTGGCCAAATAGAGGGTTATCAAGGCTGGGAAATACTTGGGAAATGATAAGGTGACAATTTCTATCGATTTTGATAAGAAAATCATGGGATCAACTCCAATCGGCCGGCGACGGCGGCAACGATGGTGGCACTTTGACAATTTTGAGATATGAAAGGTTATTTAAAAAAAAATTATTTTTATTTCTGATTTAATGCGATTGAAATGACTAATTTACCCTTTGACTGTTACATTAAATTATTTTCTATTAATTTAATGGTGGGAATCTAAAATTTATGAAACCATGGGTAGGAACTTGTAGATTCACCAATCCTTGGGTGGGAACATGTGGTTTACTCTTTCTTATTAGATGAAATCTACTCAAAAGTAGAAACTAACCACAAATGTTCCTGTGTCTTGGTTGGCTACAAACTATGAAGAGCTTCTCTTAGCCTTTTGATGCTGAGAATGTGACTTTCAACTATTTTTGAGCCTTTTAAGGTTCGATATAATGAAACAACCTAAAGCAATACGAAATAAAAAACAGTAAACACATACAACTAAAGAGAAAGAATAATATATGCGATTTATTTTAGTTTACCCAATTAATTGGCTACGTCCAGCAGGGTTAATCTTATTTAAATACTGTCTCATTTTTCTCGTTAAAATGAAGGTAATTTACCCTATGATTTGCTATTATACATATACAAGAGAAAAATAAATTTATATACTAGTTTTAAAGAGTAAAATACATTTTCTAAGCCCAAACAAATTAGCAATACGAGACCTCAGAATGCGTCTGCGTGACCCATTATTGTTGAAGTGGTCGATAACTCCAATACATAATACAACCTTCCCTTAAATTAAATGGTAGCTTATCTTAAATTTATAAAAAAAAAAAAAAAAAAAAAAAAATATCTCTGTCAGTATAACGAAAAATACGTTTAATCAAGAGGACATAACGAGCATTACCTATAAATAACATTATCATTGTAGTGATTATTATGTTAAAAAATATAAACTCACATAGCTACAATGAAGGTGAACCAAAAATCATATGACAATAATAAGTAATAAATTAAATACGTTATTTTACAGCCTCTTACTTCGGGACACTCCTACTACACCAATCAGCATTTCAATGAAGAATTAAGTATAGAAAAGTTTAAATAATGGCAGCCTCCTACCACTAAACTTGTGATTACTTGTTAGTGTATTCAACTTGGTGAGAAATTATCATAATATATATATCAATTCCTAGTTTTCACAGCGATCGTCTATCTCCTGCATAAATTATTAATCATCTAATATTGCTAGCAAGATTATCTGAATTATTATTTATTATGGCTGCCGTGGGAACCCTGAATCTAACCATGGTTTCCCTTCTAATCCCCCCTAATATTCAATCTAGTGGCCTGTGGAAGGGAATTGCAGTGGGAGGAAAACTGGACTGGTTCGCTTTTGGATTGCCGAGACTTGAATTATTCATTGCCATGATCTTTGTCAGCACTCATTTATCTCATTCCATCCTCAAAGAAAAAGGCCTTCCAATGTTTACCTCTCAGCTTATTGTAAGTACTTCGGATTTATTTTTCGCTCACCTTAATCGATCTCTTATTGTATCTACCTGGAATTATTTGAATGAAATTTCCTAACAAATTGTGATTTTTTCTGTAAATTAACTAGACTGGCCTGCTGCTTTCTCCAGCAGTTATCGGAAAAACCGCAGCCGACAAGTTGTTTACGGAAGAAACTATACAAGTTCTTACTACCCTGGGGTCATTTGTTTATGTTTTCTTTTTATTCCTGATTGGAGTGAAAATGAATCCAGGCATGGTGACCAAGGTGAGCAAAAGAGCCTTTTTTGCCTCCTTTCTGTGACAATACCTATGCTTTCTGCAATTCTAATCCCGGAGATTTTCACCTTGAAGAAACAAGATAAGATCAAACTTTTGCTTCTTTCAGCGCCTTATTTTATGACTTCATTTCCAGTAATATATTGTCTTCTCAGTGAACTGAAGATCCTGAATTCGGAACTCGGCAGAATAGCTGTTGGTTTTGCTAGAGAACAAGGAAGAAAAACTGATGATAGAGAGAGAAACGTAGGCTGGAATTCATGCTCTGTTTTTTCATTCAAAAACAGGGATAGTTTTTATGCAAGAACCTGCAACTGTTCCAGCTAAAGTTGCAAATTTAAAATTTAACTAAACACTTCAACTAAAGCACGTACAAACATATCAAAATACATCATTTTATCAACCTAATTCACCTAAACACATCACTAAAATATTTCTAAAACAGTGACCAAAAAACAACTTTTGCATGCACAGCACGTTGGCGGCAAAACATGCCAATTGATTTCTGTCAACTTTATCATTTCCAGCATGATATCATAATCTTCAACAATAGCACTCTCTTCTGCAATTGTCAGTGACCTTTTGAGCATATTTCTCACTGTCTCCATCATAGTTTTGAGAGTAGCATTACAAAATGAGATTCGCACAGCTATATATGATCTCGTAAATGTTATTGCCTTCATTAGTTTTCTTTTTCTGGTGCTCCGGCCTGGAATTAAGTATGTGATTTCATACACTCCTGAAGGCCAGCCTGTGAACCAACTTTTCATCTCGATCTTCCTATTATTGTTTCTAATGTTCTTATCTCTCGCCAAATGGTATGGTGAATTTTTATTGTTGGAGGTTTATGTTTTTGGTTTAGCAATCCCACATGGACCGGCATTGGGGTCTGATCTGGTGGAGAAGACCGAAACCATGGTTCAGAACTTACTTTTGCCAGTTTTTGTTACAAGATGCGGCATGAAGATTGAGAAGTTGTTCATCCGATTTGATACCAATTTCACAAGTGTTAATGCATTGATCGCTGCTGCAGCTTTGTTGGTTAAATTTTTAGTCTGCTTGCTTCCACCATTAATGTACAGCAAAATGCCTACATATGATGTGGTTACACTCGCTCTCATTATGAGCTGTAAGGCATTGTCGAGATGGCGATCTTCGGCTTCCTGTTCGACGGTAAGTTATTTCTTTTAATCATTTTCTCATCCGATCTTTCTAATTATTCTAACTTCATAATTTCTTTGAT